CCAACAGTCTCATGAACTCCGTCGTGACCGCGTTCGTCTCGAAAACCTTCTTCACTGGGTCCCAACGGTGCCGGGCCCTGAGGATGTCACGCTCCTGCAGGACGATGAACTCCGCCAAGGGGTCTGGGATGCCCAGACTCGTGGCTTCCGCGTCCTCCTTGGCCCATATGGACCTCTTCTCGCCATAACCACGGCTTCCGAGGTGGTGGCACCCAATGTTCCTCTTTTGAAGCCCCTTCATGTACTTCGACTTTTTTGGCAGCTTCGGCCTCGCAAGCCGCCTTGAATATTGAAAGTGCTCTGCCGTGATTGTCGGATTATCCTTTACAATCTCGGAGTAGGGTTCCTTTTTGTTGACAATCCGATATTTCACCCTTGATTTCCAGGCGGCCAACGCATCGCTAAACTTGGTCATCGCGTGTTTGTTTATCTTCTTCATTGTCGGGTCCTTATCTGGATCTTTATAATCCTTTTCATTCCGGCCCGGGAACAAGAATATCTGGTGCAGATTCTTTAGGAGGGAGGGCCTCATATTATCTATCTTCTTTAGTTTCTCATCGTTCATGGTGGCGGTTATCCGTATGATGCAGACTATTTGATTGCCGTAGCACGGGCGCGCTTCCTCGGGTGCGTTTGGCTCAAAATTGCTGTCGTCCACCTCCGTGACCACCAGTCTAGTAGTCCTGAGCTTGTTAGGAAGCCGTTGCCTCTTTGCTTTCGGTTCTATACCGTCTCCGCTAGTCTCGGCGCCGGTCTCAGTCTCAGCGCCAGTCTCGATGCCGGTATCAGTCTCAGCGCCGGTCCCAGTCTCAGTGCCGGCCTAGATATCAGTCTCAATCTCCGATGTGACAGGTGGACCCAGGAACATCAACTCTTGATCGTCGGCTTCCCTCAAAATTTCTTCTGCCACCAGGTAGACGTTCTCGCAGTCACCAGAACCCTGTCCTTCATCGTTGCTAGCCATGTTTCCTATGATTAAATCTAGTCAATTAATTCTAGACCTAATAAAATGAATAATGACATAAAAAGGCCTATGCTTTGCAGGAACGTTGACTCCTTCTCGGTGCGGCAAATCCCGGGCACTTGATATGTCCTAGTTTGTAGCACAAGTCATGCCGAAATTCACGGAAAATTTCGGCATGACTTTTGCTAAAAAGTGGAAAAATCGAGAACATGAAATTTGCCGGAATGGAAATGAATCAACATTCCGGCAAAACATAGGCCACTCGGCTTCATTCCCTAGAAAAAACAAAGCCACTTGGGCACATTCGAACCACTTCAATGAAAAGATATAACATGAGCAAACACTATTGAGGAATTTGCATATAACATGGCCACTTCAATGAAAAGATATAATCAACAATAATGGAATATGCAAATGAACATCAATGACATATATCATATAACAACAATCTTGTGTTTTGTTTACATAGCAACAATTAGTTTAACTAAGTTTTTGAAAAGAAAAACAATTCTGTTTTTTGTTTATAGCTAAATGACATAGCTACTGTTTTTTATTTATAGATAAATACTTTTATTTTTTATCTAAAGCTAAAAGTCTAGGAACTCTATTTTCTCTAACCCTTCTAACCTCACCAAAATTTCCACATCAAGACCTTAATCAAATTTGGAACAGATTCAGGTCCGTAGTCCAAATAATTTTTTATAGCTAAGTGTTTTTTGTTTATAGCCTCTATTAATTTAAATCTAAATGTTACTATTATTTATATACCCTCTATTAATTTAAAGCTAAATGGAATTACTGTTTAGGCATTTTCATAAAAAAAATCCTAGCTAATTTCCTAAAAAAATTGCTAATCATTTTTCCTAAATGCTAAAAAATGCCTACTGCCCTAAACAAATCTAGGGTTCATATGATCACCTAGGGTTCATATGAACATCAACACATCATCAACATATATATGAACTGCCCTAGCAGAGAGAGAGAGGAGGGTAGGGGAGAGGAGAGGCAGAGCCTTATGGTCGGCGGTGAGGGCAGGCTCTGGCTCGGGCGGGGAGGTCCTGGGCGGGCTGGGGCGGCGGCGGTGAGGTCGAGGGCGGTGGCGGTGAGCTCGAGGGAGGCAACGGTGAGGTCGACGACGGCGTCGGGCGGCGCCTGTGAGGTCGAGGGCGGCCTCGGGCGGCGGCGGTGTGGTCGAAGGCGGCAGGGCAACGACGGAAATGGAGCAGTTGGGGGAGAAGGGGGAGTGGAGGGGGAAGGACTTAGCGAAATTTTGAGCCCGCGCGGCCGGGGGTTAAGTTAAACTAGCAGTAGCGCGTTTTGCCGAAACGCGCTATAGCTAAGTTAGCTATAGCATTTTCCAGTGAAACGCGCTACAGCTATTCCTTTCTATTTTATTTTTATTTTTCTTTTGTTTTCTTTACACTTTCTTATTTTTCATTTCTCCTTTCTCTATTTCTTTCATTTTCATTTACTTTTCTACTTATTTTTCTATTTATTTTCTTTTTCATAGCAGTAGCGCTCTACAGCATAAACGCGCTGCTACAGAGTTTTTAGCAGTATCGTGCTTCTTGAAGAATCGCTACTACTATTCCTAGCCTACCGGCACCAGCGAGGGAATTATAGTAGTAGCGCTTTTCCGTGTAGACACGCTACTGCTACAACAATGGTTGTAGCGTGCTTTCGTAACAAGCGCTACTAATAAGTAGCAATAGCGCCGTGTTTTGACCAGTGCTACTGCTATACCTCCGTGTATAAGGTTTTCCCTAGTAGTGGGAAGCAAGCTACTTCCTGACCACCATTCACCATCAGGAAAATCAATTGCCTGTAAAGGCCTTTCAGTTTCCTCTTGTTTTTGCAACATAGTGCCACGCCATGATGTTGCTGTTCGGATTAGAAGCCTCAACAAAATATTTTCAACTTTCAATAGTTGTACACAACCTACCAGAAATGGTCCAACATCCAAACTGATAAGAAGTTCTAACCTTGTTGAGCCCAACCTTGTGGGGAAGGAGATTATACATTCTAGCAGGCAGTTGGTGGACTTGGTGCTTGTGCACAAGGAAAAAAGGTCTTACAAGGTCGCTATTGTGGTACAGGTGGAGTTGGTAAGACAACACTAGCTCAAAAAATATACAACGAACCGAAAATAGAAGGAAGCTTCAAGATTCATGCATGGATTTGTGTTTCACAAGACTACAATGAAGTAACTCTTCTGAAAGAGGTTCTCCGGAATATTGGTGTGTACAATGAGCAAGGTGAAAGCATAACAGAGCTGCAGAGAAAGCTTGCAGAAACCATTAAAGGCAAGAGTTTCTTTCTTGTTCTTGATGATGTGTGGCATTCCAATGTATGGACAGATTTACTAAGACCTGCATTTAATGAAACAACTGCCGGAGTAATATTGGCAACCACACGAAATGATCAAATTTCAATTGGAATAGGTGTGGAGTATACCCATCGAGTTTATCTTATGTCAGTAGAGGTGGGATGGGAGCTACTTTGGAGGAGCATGTACATTGATGAAGAGAAACAAGTGGTGAGTTTGCGAAACATTGGGATTGAGATTGTTCGTAAATGCGGTTACCTCCCTCTTGCGATCAAGGTTGCAGCTAGTGTTTTGGCAAGCAAAGATATAACAGAGAATGAGTGGAAAAGGATTTTAAGCAAATATGCTTGCTCCCAGAGCCAGCTCTCTGAAGAAATAGAAGAAGCCATGTATCTAAGCTACGACGAGTTGCCACATCATCTGAAGCAGTGTTTCCTTTACTGTGCTTTGTACACTGAAGATTCTATCATTCTTCGTCATGATGTTACCTGGTTATGGATTGCTGAAGGCTTTATTGAGGAGCAGCAAGGACAGCTACTAGAAGACATAGCAGAAGAGTAATACTATGAGCTAATTCATCGGAACCTCCTCCAACCAGATTATTTAGCGTTTGACCAGTCTAAATGCAAAATGCATGACCTCTTGAGGTAGCTTGCTTTAAATATATGGAAGGAAGAATGCTTTATTGGAGATGTTGAAACACTAAGGGGTGAAAATATGTCAAAACTGCGATGTGTTACTGTGGTAACTAAGAAGGATAAATTAGTGTTACCTAGAATGGATAAGGTCGAAGTTAAGGTGAGGACATTCCTAATTGTTGATGGTCGAGACAACATTGAGGATACATTGTTCAAGAGATTTCTACTTCTTCGTGTCTTGGTACTGAATTGCTCACTTGTACAAAGCATTCCAGGCTATATAGGAAAATTGATACATCTACGTCTACTTAATCCGGATTATACTGGCATATCTTGTCTTCCGGAATCCATTGGATCCCTAAAGAACCTTCAAGTATTGATCTTGAATAATTGTGACGCTCTAGACAGTCTTCCTTTGGCGATCACCCAGTTGTGCAGTTTAAGATGTTTTTCTCTTGTTGGTACAGAAATAAATCAAGTTCCAAAAGGTATAGGAAAGCTAAGGTTACTCATTAATTTAAGGAATTATCATATTGGTCATGGAACCGATAATGTTGTTGTACAAGATGGATGGAAGTTCGAAGAGTTGTCTTCTTTGTCACGGATGAGATATCTTTCTCTCGTTAAATTGGAAAGAGCAGTAGCCCACTGTAGTACAAATATAGTGCTTACGGACAAAAAGCATCTAAAAGAACTAAGACTAGAGTGGACTGAACATGGAGAGTGGTCATATTCAGAAGAAGATGTTAGCAACGCTGAGAAGGTCTTTGAGCAGCTAATACCTCCGAGCAACCTGGAAAACCTACTTATTTCATGATTCTTTGCTCGGCGGTATTCCACCTGGTTTGGTACCACCTGTTTGTCCTCACTGATACACTTGGTCCTCGAAAGTATACGATCATGTGTGGAACTTCCACCGATTGGGCAACTACCCAACTTAAAATTTCCGAGAATTAATGGAGCGCATGCGGTTACCAAGGTTGGACCTGGATTTCTTGGCTGCAAGAAAGGCGATCATGTATGTAATGAGTTGGCTGCTTTCCCAAAACTTGAATGGTTGATCTTCACAGATATGCCCAACTGGGAAGCGTGGTCTCTTTTTGAGGAAGAAGTGGCTGCTGAGATTCGAAAAGAGGATGCGCAATCTCCAAGGTTGAAACTGCTGCCCCATTTGGTGTCGTTGCAACTTCGCGGCTGCCCAAAGTTGAGGGCTCCACCACAGCTTGGAGAGGACACTGCCAGCTTGAAGGAGATTCTTTTAATTAGAATGAACAATTTGGAGGCCGTGGGGGACTTCCCGATGCTCTCTGAGCTCGGTATTTCGAAATGTGAAGGTTCGGAGAGAGTCCGCAACCTCCCCCAAGTGACAGACCTGCGTGTACACGGTTGTCCGAACTTAAGCCTTGTAGATGGGTTGGGCAGTCTGCAACAGTTGGGGCTGGGCGAGGGTATGCAAGAGGTCTCTTCCCGGTGGGTGCCCGGGCTCCAAGAGCAGCACGAGCGACTTCATGGTGAAGAACTGGATGTCTACACATGGCGTTAGATGGCACAAGGTATGTATGAACACTACATACTGATTGAATACTTTTTATTGTATATTTGATTCTCTTAGCAGCGATGATTTATGTTCAGTTGTGTGCCACTATATATGCTTATGCAACAAAAATTCTTACACCTTTTACAGACTATTCCAGGATTAATACATGTTCACTGATTTTTTTTGGAAAAGGGGCGCAGCCCCGGCCTCTACATCAGAAAGATGCATACGGCCACATTTATTAAAAGCAAATAGGTCCAACAAATGTCAGTAACTCCGTTACACACTAGTCCCCAAACGGCTCACAAAGAGCAGCAAAATAAAAGCCACAACCGGCATGCAAAATAAAGATAGGAAAACTAATTGCCTATCCTATTACATGACCGCCATCCAAACCGACTGAATATAGCCCGAGCTACCATCTCCCATCGGGCAGATCCAGTAACCAAATGCTCCCTGGCCTCCGTCTGAGTGAGTAGCGACCACATACGGATCAACGTAGTAGCTTGGAAGATGACCTGCAAAAAATGAGTATTTGTTGTTCTGTTAAAGACCAAATCATTCATGTAGTTCCAGACTGCCCAAAGTAAAGCACATACTCCTAGACGAATGTGTTTAGCTGTTTGGGTCTCTATCCCATCCAACCACGTCCCAAATAACGTGTTGATATTATTCGGAGGAGTAATATTAAAAGCAATGTGAACAGTCTGCCAAAGAACCTTCGCCATAGGACAATCCAGGAAGAGGTGTTTGATAGTCTCGTCTTGATCACAAAAAGTACATCTCATAGAGCCGGTCCAATTGCGCTTTGTCAAATTATCCTTGGTTAAAATAACTTGTTTATGTACAAACCACATAAACACTTTAACTCTCAAAGGGACTTTGACATTCCAAACATATTTGGAGAAGGGAATAGAGCTAGAATTGATGACATCTAAGTACATTGATTTAACCGTGAACTCTCCATTCCTGGTTAATTTCCAGCTCAACGAATTCGGCCGTTGAGCAAGCTGCACACCCATCAGTCTTCTCACCAGATGTAGCCAGGCTTCCCAACGCGCTCCGGCAAGTGTTCTCCTAAATTGGATATTAAGGGGAGCGGACCTGAGAACGGTTGCAACCAGAGCGTCTCTCCGTTGCACGATGTTACAAAGAGACGGATACTGTAATGCGAGAGTTGTTTCCCCTAGCCATGTATCCTCCCAGAATCTCGTGGTGTTACCGTCTCTGATAACAAACTTTGTTCTGTTGAAAAAGACCGATTTAACTCTCATCAGCCCTTTCCAAAAAGGCGAGTCCGTCGGTCTCACTCTCACCTGTGACAAAGTTTTGGATTGAAGGTACTTGTTACACAGAATCTGCGCCCACGAGGCTTCCGACTCTACAGATAACTTGTACAACCACTTGCTGAGAAGACATCTGTTTTTCACCTCTAGATTTTCGATCCCAAGACCCCCTTGGTCTTTTGGTCGGCAAATAATATCCCATTTAGTGAGTCGATATTTCGTTTCTGAATCACCACTCTGCCAAAAGAAACGGGATCGATAGAAATCTAGTCTTTTCCTAACTCCAACTGGTATCTCAAAAAACGACAAAAGAAACGTAGGCATGCTCGTGAGGACCGAGTTAATAAGAATTAACTGGCCCCCATACGACATTAGCTTGCCCTTCCAACAGCTTAGTTTCTTCTCGAATCGATCCTCGACACACTTCCACTCTCTATTTGTTAGCTTACGATGGTGAATTGGTGTATCCAAATACGTAAAAGGTAAAATCCCAATTTCACACCCGAACAATTGCTTATAGGCCTCTTGTTCTTCTTTGGCTCTTCCAAAGCAGAACAATTCACTCTTGTGAAAGTTAATCTTTAATCCCGTCAATTGTTTGAATAAGCATAACACCAGCTTCATGTTTCGCGCTTTTGCCAAGTCATGCTCCATGAAAAGGATAGTGTCATCAGCGTACTGTAGGATAGACACCCCTCCATCAACTAGATGAGGTACGAGGCTACCTACTTGGCTAGCATCCTTTGCCCTACCTATTAGAATGGTCAGCATGTCAGCTACGATGTTGAACAGAATAGGTGACATCGGATCTCCTTGTCTCAGGCCTTTATGTGTCTGGAAATAGTGACCTATGTCATCATTCAGTTTGATTTCAACACTCCCTTTTTGCGTAAAAGATTCAACCTGGTTTCTCCAAGCCGGGTCGAAACCTTTCGTGCGCAAAGCCTGTTGTAGAAATGGCCACTTAACTTTATCGTACGCCTTTTAGAAATCCACTTTGAAAACAAACCCATCTACTTTTTTCATATGGAGTTCATGGAGGGTCTCATGCAAGACTACAACCCCTTCTAGGATGTTTCTGTCTGGCATGAAAGCAGTTTGGGTCGGCTACACCACAGAATGTGCAATCTATGTGAGTCTATTAGTCCCAGCCTTGGTAAAAAATTTGAAACTAACATTAAGAAGACAAATAGGTCGGAACTGCTCAATTCTCACAGCCTCTGTTTTCTTCGGGAGTAATGTTATTGTTCCAAAATTCAAATGAAACAACTGAAGCTGTCCAGAGAACAGATCGTGGAACATCGGTAACAGATCCCCTTTAATAATATGCCAACATCTCTTATAAAACTCCGCAGGAAATCCATCCGGCCCCGGAGCTTTCTTGTTCTTCATCTATCCAATCGCATCAAATACCTCTTTCTCCGAGAACGGTGCAGTCAATACCTCATTCTCATCGGCAGCCAACTGAGGCACATCCTCAATTCTCGACTCATCCAAGGACACAAAGTTATCCTCTGGAGGCCCAAAAAGGTGCTTGTAATAATTGGTAATGTAAAGTTTTAGGTTCTCTTGTCCTATGATTGTTCCCTCGTCTTGCTCAAGCTGAAAGATTCTTTTCTTTCTGTGCTTGCCATTGGCAATCATATGGATGAATTGAGTATTGGCATCCCCTTGGACAACTTTACGAACCTTAGCTCGCAATGCCCATTTCAACTCCTCTTCTCTCAACAGCTCTTTCAATCTCATCTCCGCATCCACTTTAGCATGAAGCTCCGCGGAATGCAAAATTGTGGACTCGGCTTTCACATGTAAGGACTGAATAAGTGTAAGGAGTCTCTCCTTTTCAATCTTATAAATCCCACTAAGATGCTTAGCCCATCCTCGCAAGAAACTTCTCAAGTTCCTAATCGTATTCTGCCATCTCTCAATAGGAGATCTTCCTCCTGCATCTTTCGCCCATTCTCTGGCTATCAGATCCAGGAACCCTTCTCTTTCAAACCACGCAAGTTCAAAAGAGAAAGTATTTTTGTTACCCACATGCGTTGCCTCCCCAGAATCCACTAGCAGAGGTGTGTGGTCTGAGATACCGTGAGATAATGCTTGGACTGTAACCAAGGGGAATTTTTGTTCCCACTCAACGCTTGCTAGGACTCTATCTAGCTTCTCATACATTGGGTTTAACAAAGTATTAGCCCACGTGAATTTTCGACCTGAAAGCTCTATCTCTCTAAGATACAAGATTTCGATGATGGTATTAAACATAAACGACCACCTGGCCTCGAAATTATCATTGTTCTTTCCATCTCTCCTTCTAATAATGTTGAAATCTCCTCCAACCAAAATTGGGACCTGTTCAGATCCGCAAATCCTGACAAGATCCGCCAAAAAGTCTGGTTTTAGTTCCAGCTGTGCGGCCCCATACACCGCAACCAATGCCCAATTAAAGCCATCGACTTTGGATCTTACCCGAAATTTGATGACAAAGTCACCCATAACTACAGTTCAGACTTCCAGCGTCTCACACTTCACCCCAAGAAGGATCCCCCTGATCTACCCCTTGGCGGAAGGCAGTGCCAATCAAAATCGACACCGCCGGACAAAGTGTTCAGAAACTGAGGAGAGAAATTGTGCCTTCCTTTCTCGGAAAGGGCAATAAAATCCAGTTTATGCTCAATGGAAGCATCCGGAAGAAACCTTCGTTTAGTCAAGTCCAACAGACCTCTGCTATTCCAGAAGATGCCTCTCATAGTTCATCATGGAATTTTTTGGCTGTACGAACCCTAGCACTCCTACGCACCGCGGATGTTGGATAAATCTTACGCCTCCACTTTCGCTTAGGCTTGTTATCCTCCTCCACCCGGTCCTCACAACCGAGCTCCGCGGCCCTAACCTCCAGTTCCTCTACCGGAGCACTCTCCTCCAGGGGTAACAAGCCATCATCCTCCTCGGTCTCATTGAGTGGATGGGCAAGATCCGCACACAATGAATCGAGTACCCTGACTCCCAAAGCATCAATATCAGAATCGTTCATAGATTTAACCGCAGCTAAATTACGGATCAATTATAAGGCACAATCCGCTTCTAGGTCAAGAATGTCATTAACAGATTTTGAAATTTCACTATCATTACTACCCAGTGAAACTCCTAACTCATTTGCATTGTGGATGATCTCATCATTATTAAAAAGCAAAATAGAATTGGAAATACTGACTGACATACACTACAAAAAAAGACACGTCCATGACATTTTGGCCGAACGATTTTTTTTTCTGTCATACATATGACACTTCTATGACGATAATTGTGACAAAACCCGGTATCATCATAGATGTGGTGGGCTCCTACTTCTATGACACAAAATCATGACATAAAATGGGCTTTTCGTCCTGGGCGGGCCGGAGACGCAGCTGCATGACATTCTTTGGGCCGTCCATGACGGAAAAAACCATGGTAGAAGCGAGGGGGGGGAAAATTTCGGGGAGTTCCCGGTTACGGTGGGAGGTCGGGGGCTGAGCGATGTGCATTTCTCTCGTACACGTACACGCGTGTCTGCGCGGCATTGGCTCTAACTGAACCCGAGCGAGGCGTTGGGCTCTAACTGAACCCAAGCGATTGCACTGCAGGCTACGCATTACTGAACCCGAGCGATCGATCGATGGCTGTTAACTGAACCAGAGCGATCGATTCCTTCGCTACTGCTGCTAATCGAAGCCGATTGAT